AAAACTATTAATGTTACAGAACAGAAAACTATTAATGTTACAGAACACAGAAACTATTAATGTTACAGAACAGAAACTATTAATGTACAGAACACAGAAACTATTAATGTTACAGAACAGAAACTATTAATGTTACAGAACACAGAAACTATTAATGTTACAGAACACAGAAACTATTAATGTTACAGAAACACGAAACTATTAATGTTACAGAACACAGAAACTATTAATGTTACAGAACACAGAACCTATTAATGTTACAGAACAGAAACTATTAATGTTACAGAACATAGAAACTATTAATGTTACAGAAACAGAAACTATTAATGTTACAGAACATAGAAACTATTAATGTTACAGAACAGAAACTATTAATGTTACAGAACACAGAAACTATTAATGTTACAGAACACAGAAACTATTAATGTTACAGAACAGAAACTATTAATGTTACAGAACACAGAAACTATTAATGTTACAGAACACAGAACTATTAATGTTACAGAACAGAAACTATTAATGTTACAGAACAGAAACTATTAATGTTACAGAACATAGAAACTATTAATGTTACAGAACAGAAACTATTAATGTTACAGAACAGAAACTATTAATGTTACAGAACAGAAACTATTAATGTTTACAGAACACAGAAACTATTAATGTTACAGAACACAGAAACTATTAATGTTACAGAACAGAAACTATTAATGTTACAGAACACAGAAACTATAATGTTACAGAACACAGAACTATTAATGTTACAGACAGAAACTATTAATGTTACAGAACACAGAAACTATTAATGTTACAGAACACAGAAACTATTAATGTTACAGAACAGAAACTATTAATGTTACAGAACAGAAACTATTAATGTTACAGAACATAGAAACTATTAATGTTACAGAACACAGAAACTATTAATGTTACAGAACACAGAACCTATTAATGTTACAGAACACAGAAACTATTAATGTTACAGAACAGAAACTATTAATGTTACAGAACATAGAAACTATTAATGTTACAGAACACAGAAACTATTAATGTTACAGAACAGAAACTATTAATGTTACAGAACATAGAAACTATTAATGTTACAGAACAGAAACTATTAATGTTACAGAACATAGAAACTATTAATGTTACAGAACAGAAACTATTAATGTTACAGAACAGAAACTATTAATGTTACAGAACACAGAAACTATTAATGTTACAGAACACAGAAACTATTAATGTTACAGAACAGAAACTATTAATGTTACAGAACATAGAAACTATTAATGTTACAGAACAGAAACTATTAATGTTACAGAACACAGAAACTATTAATGTTACAGAACAGAAACTATTAATGTTACAGAACACAGAAACTATTAATGTTACAGAACATAGAAACTATTAATGTTACAGAACAGAAACTATTAATGTTACAGAACAGAAACTATTAATGTTACAGAACAGAAACTATTAATGTTACAGAACAGAACCTATTAATGTTACAGAACAGAAACTATTAATGTTACAGAACAGAAACTATTAATGTTACAGAACACAGAAACTATTAATGTTACAGAACACAGAAACTATTAATGTTACAGAACAGAAACTATTAATGTTACAGAACACAGAAACTATTAATGTTACAGAACAGAAACTATTAATGTTACAGAACACAGAAACTATTAATGTTACAGAACATAGAAACTATTAATGTTACAGAACAGAAACTATTAATGTTACAGAACACAGAAACTATTAATGTTACAGAACAGAAACTATTAATGTTACAGAACACAGAAACTATTAATGTTACAGAACATAGAAACTATTAATGTTACAGAACAGAAACTATTAATGTTACAGAACAGAAACTATTAATGTTACAGAACAGAAACTATTAATGTTACAGAACAGAAACTATTAATGTTACAGAACATAGAAACTATTAATGTTACAGAACATAGAAACTATTAATGTTACAGAACAGAAACTATTAATGTTACAGAACATAGAAACTATTAATGTTACAGAACATAGAAACTATTAATGTTACAGAACAGAAACTATTAATGTTACAGAACACAGAAACTATTAATGTTACAGAATATAGAAACTATTAATGTTACAGAACAGAAACTATTAATGTTACAGAACACAGAAACTATTAATGTTACAGAACACAGAAACTATTAATGTTACAGAACACAGAAACTATTAATGTTACAGAACACAAAAACTATTAATGTTACAGAACACAAACTATTAATGTTACAGAACACAGAAACTATTAATGTTACAGAACACAGAAACTATTAATGTTACAGAACACAGAAACTATTAATGTTACAGAACAGAAACTATTAATGTTACAGAACACAGAAACTATTAATGTTACAGAACAGAAACTATTAATGTTACAGAACACAGAAACTATTAATGTTACAGAACAGAACCTATTAATGTTACAGAACAGAAACTATTAATGTTACAGAACACAGAAACTATTAATGTTACAGAACACAGAAACTATTAATGTTACAGAACAGAAACTATTAATGTTACAGAACAGAAACTATTAATGTTACAGAACACAGAAACTATTAATGTTACAGAACACAGAAACCTATTAATGTTACAGAACACAGAAACTATTAATGTTACAGAACACAGAAACTATTAATGTTACAGAACACAGAAACTATTAATGTTACAGAACAGAAACTATTAATGTTACAGAACACAGAAACTATTAATGTTACAGAACAGAAACTATTAATGTTACAGAACACAGAAACTATTAATGTTACAGAACACAGAACCTATTAATGTTACAGAACACAGAAACTATTAATGTTACAGAACACAGAAACTATTAATGTTACAGAACACAGAAACTATTAATGTTACAGAACACAGAAACTATTAATGTTACAGAACAGAAACTATTAATGTTACAGAACACAGAAACTATTAATGTTACAGAACACAGAACCTATTAATGTTACAGAACACAGAAACTATTAATGTTACAGAACAGAAACTATTAATGTTGTTTGGATACAGTTTGTTTTTAATCAGTATTTTAATGAACATAGTATCAAAACCTTGACAGTCCAATCAGTGAGATGTGTAGAGAGTGAGATGATAAAGGTATCTTACTATCTGATCAGACATTAAGGAAACATGCTATGTTGAAGTGCTGGCTTCTCTGACAACAATGCAGCAGCCAGTATGTCCTCCTTCTAACTTTAGATTCTGCTCCTGAGTGCTCTGGATTTGTTTGGACCAGAGAAGGTAGGCGCTTTTAAGACACGCCCCCACACGGCCGTTTTAGACGCCCCTCAGTTTGTCAGATATGAGAGCAGTTATCAGGTCAACAGGTGTTGCAGTGATGGAAGCGGTCAAGAGAAGTGGTTCAGATAGAAGTGATTGTACCCGACCTAAAAAGCCTCTGCATGTTTCTAATAAGCTCCACGAGCAGAAACGTGCTCAAACTAGGATCAATATTGGAGATGCTTTTGAAAAATGGAGAGAGGTTAGAACACAGAAAGTTTTACAGACCCATGCAGAGCTGGATAAACACTGAAGCTTCAGAGTCCACCACATGGTGACCTGAGTGAGCATCGAGTCTAGAGAGGGGGGGGGAGGGGAGTCTCCATGCTGGAAATGCTGTCTCAGTCTAACTTTCAGTCAACCTAACGACAGGCTGAGAGCTGGAGCTGAGGCGGGTTTTAAACCTCCTGACAAACCGTTACACCGCGCCCGCCAGTCAATCAGGTCAGCTACGCGCCTTATTGTGAATAACTTTCACAATCTTATCATTCATCAAATTACTCAACATTGGGTGTGTTCGATATAAAGTTCCTCCTTTCGTCCCGTTTTGATGCAGTCAGAAGAAGCTAAAGCAAACTATAAGCTGCTCAGATTAATCTGTAACAATTTAATGGAGAAAAACACTTTTTGGGGATTTATTTTGGATTTAGAAGAGCTATGTTAACAAAGGTTTTCTCTAAAACAAGAAGAACAGCAGACAGACAGAAGCTGTGAGTTGAAGCTAAGATGCATTCTTTGTTTTTGTTAATTTATCGTAATTCATATCGTAATCCTCATATCGCGCTGGCCTCATGACACTGCTCTAATGTGCCTTGAAAGCGTTAATGGCTGCTGTAATCATTCCTCCTGCCCGCTCTGGGCGTGCAGTGATCTCATCCTGGTGATAAGTGAAAGCTGGGATTTCCACGGTCTTTGTTTTGTCCAGAAATAACGCAGCCGAAGCTGATATTAGTCCTCAACAGTGATGAATGGCTCTCATTGTTATTGTGTATTTTTTTCCTGCTTTGTGACACCATCTCCCCTCTGCTGCTCAAATAGGAAACACACTCAGACAGAATTTTATTCAAAGTATGGAGGAGCGGGGGTTTCAGCTCGATACAGCTAAAGGTGGACCGTATAGTCCTTCTGATATCTGTAAAATAATATTCGCTTTAGCAGCACTTTGAAAGTCATCATTCTCAGAAGTGTTGAAATGTAAGCCGTGAATAATATCAGCTCATGCTGCCTGATAAAAACAGAGTGTAGAGTTATAATTCAGGTCACCCACCTCCATGGCAGAAAGGTTTTTCATAAATTCCCACCAACAAGAACCCTTTATTAAGTTAAAGGAGCAACATGTAAAATTTCTACTGAGCTAAATCACAAATAAAAATATGCTCATATATCCTTAGAGGTGACGGCTGACTGCAGATTGTCGTCTTCTCTGTTTATGATTTATTAAAACGTTAACACAGCTTTGAGGGGGATCCTGTTAAATATGTTGTTGTTTCTTTTTGGGGGTTTTTTAACCGCGCTCAAGTGAGTTTCAGAAAACAGAATGATTTTCATCCCTGACACAAACACACTTAATATGATTTAACATTTCTATTTGTATGTGTCATCCCAATGTGGCGCTGTAAAACCCCCGTCATATATCGCCTGTTGTTCTCTTTCCACAGGACAAAAGAATTTGGTGTGCATGTGAGGACAAGTGTCTGCGGAGCCAACCATGGCGAACAATGCGGAGGATATTGAAAACAGCATGGTGAGTATTACAGAAAGTGTTAACTGCTGTTTCTGTATCTCTGTCTGTGAGAGTGTTTCAGGTAATTATTAGACAGAAGTTTCAGGATGTGAGCTTATTTAATCAGTAATGAAGTCTGTCTCTCTGTCGGTTTGATAACTCCGGTTTCTCTTGGCCTTTACTTCAATACAAAGACATTTATTGATGTCATGAGCTGTAGGACGGAGTGTGAATCAGGAAGGTGTAAACATCAGGAGTGTAAACAGCACAGTGCGGTCTGCGTTTGACTCCGTAAATAAGGGTGTGGTGTAGTGATGAAGTCAAAGTCCCTCTCTGCTGTCAGAGTCCACATAACAAACTTTAGCCCAGAGAAAAGGTTTGTTTACACCACACTGATCACGTCTGTCTTAAACAGCAGTTTAGGTAGGTTGGCATGATGTCAGTGGGATTATCAGTCGAGTCACACAGCTGAGCCAGAGCATGGTGTGTTTACAGGACACATTCAGTCCATCCCTACAGTAAAGATGTTCCTTACTTTAAAAACCAGGCTTTTAAAACAATACAATCTGTTGATTGGGGCTATTTATGCCTGAATTGGATTGTACAGCTGAAGAAAGACAGGAAAATTATTGGCACATACTTATCATTCTTATTTTATTTTTATTATTTTAAGGCAATACTTAAACCCCTCTATTTCAGCCCTGCCCAGAACAAGCTGTTTCTGTGTCTGT